TGGACCCTAGGTCCAAATGTAAATCACGAATCAATAACATTCTTTAGAGAAAATATCTGAGAAATTCTTCATGAGTTTGGATTTGGCAAAGACTTCTTAGCACAATCCAAAAGGGGAAAAAATTGCTAAGTTGGAAGGCACCAAAGTAAAAAAATGTGCTTTGTAAGGACAAAATTAAGAGAATGAAAAGACAAGCCACATGGAGAGAAAATATTCACAAGCCACATGTCTGTCAAAGACTAGTATCTACTCATGAGAGAAGTGCAAATTAGTAGCACAATGAGATGCCACTGCTCACCTCGTGGAATGGCTACGATAAAAAATGCTGGCAAGTCCAGTTACCGATGAGGACGTGGAGCAACTGGAACTCCTGTGTTGCTGGTGGGATTGCAAAATGGTACATCCCTCTGAAAACAGCCTGCCAGTTTCTTATAAAGTCACACATACCATTACCGTACGACCAGCAATCCCACCCAGAGCAACAGAAACGTAGGGGACATGGACATCTGCACACAGTTCCCGAGAGCTAGGCTCCTCTTGATTTCCTCCCGTGACCTCATGAGGAAAGGATGGCTCTGACCCAAAAGAGAATGTCTAGGCCTTTGCGCAATGTGAATAGGAGACGGGCCTGAGCCGCCTGCAGGAAGAAGGGCTCTGGGGGTGAAGAGAGGCTGCCCCTGAGCCTGACCGGGAGGGTGGGACCCTGAGACCAGGGTTTGGAGGACAGCAGGTCTGTGCGCCGCTCCTTTGCCTGGGAAGGCCCCGCGGTGCCCGGAAGGCCGCCAGCCGGGAGCAGAGGGCAGGCTCTGCCAGGCGGCGTGTCCGGGAGAACATGGCGAGGGATGTTTTCTGGCCCGGCTGCGGCCGTTCACCAGACTTTAATCTGCTTTTTGTTATTTATGTATATATTTTTCATATATATTGTTATTGATTTCACAGAAGAAGGGAGAGGGAGAGAGAGAGAGATAGAAGCATCAATGATGAGAGAAAAATCACTGATGGCTGCCTCCCGCACGCCCCACACTGGGGATGGAGCCCGCATCCCGGGCATGTGCCCTGGCCGGGAATCGAACCTGGTTCATAGGTCAATGCTCAACCACTGAGCCACGCCGGCGGGCTGATGTGCTTTTAAAAAGAAAGGTGACGTTTCTTGTATCCTAGTGACTTGGAGCAAATCCCTGCGGGGTCCCCGGATGCCAGCTGGCAGCCCGGGGTGGGTGAGGTCACCCGGTGAGCATTTACCCCGGAGCTCGGTGTAGGAGCCTGTGGGATTCGGGAGACAGAGCTGGGAGGAGCCATGGCAGTGCCGCCTCAGAGGGAGCGCTCCCAGGGAGATGCTGCGGAAAGTGCCAGGAAGATGAGGACTACAAAGTGTCCGGCAGGTTTGGCCACGCGGCGGTTCGCCGACGTGATGGGGCAGGCCAGTGATGGAGGGGTCTGTGGAGGACGGGCACGGGTGTCCCCTCACGGCCCTGCATGTCCGCTCCGCTGGCTCATCAGTCAGACGCCACTGGAGCAGGGCCAGGGCCAGGTAGCCATTCTGGTCCATCGGAGGAGGAGAGAGCAGGGTGGCTTCACTCAGTGAAGCTAGAGGAACCACCACTAGGGGGCGTCCACCTGCCCATGTCACCTCCAGGAAGATCAGCCCATTCCTCTAAGACGACCAAGAGGGCAGTTCATGCAGAGAAATGTCCCGAGACCGGAAGGTTTATCCAATTTTCCCTCTCCTATCTTATCTGTCCGGTAAAGGGACCTGGAGGGGAAGGGCCTGGCCCTCTTGCTGCAAGTTCATCACTTATTGAGAGGTCACGCTACACCAATAACTGCCCTGAGTGTTTACCTGTATCTCCCACTTAATCCTGCAACACGTGAGACACACCCACTTCACAGACGGAGAAATAGAGGTCGGCCTGTCCCAGATCACACGGCTATGTAAGTGGTGGAGCTGGGATTCCTACCTCTAGATACTTCCATTCTGATTCCAGTGCTCTCTCCACTACAACGTGTATAATTAGAAGGGTTTATTCAAAGGAGGTTCCCAGCCCAGCCAGCGTGGCTCAGCGGTTGAGCATCGACCTATGAACCAGGAGGTCACGGTTCAATTCCTGGTCAGGGCACATGCCTGAGGTGCAGGCTCAGTCCCCATTGTGTGGCACGCAGGAGGCAGCTGGTCAACGATTCTCTTTCATTGATGTTTCTATCTCTCCCTCCCTCCCCTTCCTCTCTGAAATTAATAAAAATACATTTAAAAAACAAAACAGACAAATGAAGAATATTCCCAGGGCTCTCCTTGTGTGAGAAGTGGAGGATTCTGGGACTCAGGGCTGGGCCAGAAGACACTTCCTCTTCTCTCCTTCTGCCCTGCTGGCAGGAGCTGAGCTGTGGAGACCAACGACCAGGCCGTGCCCTCCCCTCTTGGAGGACTCATCTGATAAAGCCTCCTGCCCGGGCAGTCCAGCGGCCTCTCTGCAGAGCATGGTCTCCCATGGTCTCGGGGGAGGCCCTTGGTTAGACCAGGAAGGAGCCTGCTGCCTGGGCGGGGGGTAGATTACCAGGAGCAGGAAGCCTGGGCCGTGCGGAGGAGGTAGGGAACGAGTGGCATGTGCCTCTCAGAGCCGCCCACCCACGTCAAGGTGACATGGAGGTGTCTGGCCTGACAGCTTGTCATGCATGGCCTGGGCGGGCCTTCCAGAAATCACCCACTTAAGGTGAGGGTGGAGGTGCAGGGGGGCCTCCTCCCACGCGTGGTGACTTGTCCCATGCCTGCTCCATGCTACGGGAGGTAACACACATCAGGTGTTCAGCTCAGTGTCTGCACACAGCGGCTGCTCAGCGAGTGCTGGCTGTGACCACTCCCCCTTCGCTGTCGCTCCCGCAGCTCCCCGCCTGCATCTGTGTCCTCCCCCCTGCACCAGGGCATCGTCTGCACAATGAGGGAAACAACAGCCTCGGGATCTAACCAGACCCAGAGGCCGCTGATGGGCAGCTGTCCTTCTGAAGAGCCATCGTCTGCCCCCCCAACCCACTCACGCGCCCCCGCCCCCGGGAAACGCAGCAGTCAGCAGAGTTGACAGAGCCAGAGACTTTGACTGGTACTGGAGGTGCCCAGGGACCACAGGACACCATCACCAGCAACACCTCTCTCACCATCTCACAAACACACACACACACACACACACACACACACACACACACACACGCACACGCACCACACACGTCCCTGGAGACTCTGAACCAATCTGGGAAGTCCCATCACCCTTCCCTGATTTTTGTCGTCTCTATCGATGGGGGCTAAGGCATGTGTTTCTTTCTCTCTAACCAGACATTCCTCACCACCCCCCACCCTTCAGATCCGTCTACGCCCAGGAAGCCTGAGAGAGGAGGCCGGTCTGTTCTAAGGAGAAAGGAACAGAAATGGCCGGAGCCCGAGTTCTTTCTTTAGGCCTCCTCTGGGAGGACCAGAGACAGCGGGCTGTCCCCCCAGTGAGCGCTCGCTCTGGCGTGGAACTGGCCCACTTCACTTAGGCTGCGCCCTAGGGAGGTCGACCCCCATAAAATGCGGATGAGAAAGCTGTGCCCCCCGCCTGAGCCGAGCGTTAGGAGGTGGTGAGCTTCCTGTCCTCTCTCCCCAGCAGAAGCAGCCGATAGTCACGAGGTGGGAAGCGTTTGGGTCCCTGGGAAA